TGCAAACTGGATTTCTTCACTAAGTGACCAACAGCATGCTGGAAGGCTCACTCAGGGTTCCCTTGCTCTGCCTCTCTCTCAGGCAGCCTCTCTGTTTCTTCAGTTCACAATTTGTTATCATGACATTTGTTTATTTCAGAAAGAACCCCAGAAATTTCTTTGCTGTTTGAAGGCAGAGGCCACAGATCCTAGGGGTTTATTTGTAGTGTAGTTAAAATACAGCACATCTTGATATCATACAATAAGTGTGGAGTAAGTGTAATTTGTTCATATTTCTACAATAAACTTGCCATAACTTTGCCAGGCATCATATTCCTTATTTATGCCTTTAAACATGAGCCAAGTGGGGCTCATATAAAGGCATTTTTATCTTATTTTTTATTCCAATGTAAAAAAATGGAATTGGCCAATTCATGTGCACTAAAACTATTTTTAACTAACTGAAATCATCTTTGCTTGGACAATTCTCTATATACAGGTGTCCTCCATAATCCCTAAGTGCTATCAGTGACTACATCTGCAAAACCTTCTGTTGAAAACACAACACGGCTTTGTCAGTATGAGTGAGAAAATGACTTGCAGTAGATTATTTCACAGCTGGAGCAAGGCTGACATCAGGCACGCAATCATGACCTATACTCTCAAAATTCAAGCCATGGTCTGCTCCCCAGGTCTTGTGGTAACTTCATAACTCACTGACACTGTCTGACAGCCACCTAATTTGTAAGAGAGTTAAGATTTGCCAATTCATTGCAGCTGAGATCTTCAAAGAAGCCAACAGGAACAAGCACCCAGCTGTCATTCAGAACTGGGAAGTCTGGAGAAGCCAGCCTCTCTTTCTTCATCGACAGATGCAAAGCTTTCTCCTTGGACAAGTTCCATTTCAATCTGCTTGCCACAGAAGCAGAATAGGCTTGATTTTGTAACATGAAGTGTTTAGATAAAAGACAGAGAAGTATTGTTAAAGAAAATGAGGCAAGACCTCACTAGGATAAAGAAAATCATACCAAGAGTTTCTCCTCTTGGCCTCCTTTACCTTCCTATTTTTACACCTCTGCAGGATTCAGTGGTAGTTTTATCCTCGTGAGCCCTCTCTGTTCCCATCAACACTCTTGTCTTCACAATGACTGTCTGCCTTGTCATTTGTGTTTTCATTGTTTACAACGGGACAATCCTATGCTGTTCCTCTCAATTACGTTTTAAAAATGAAATGTAAACATGAACATTCTGCTGTTATTTTGGGCAAAAAGAAAGCTTTGTTGGCTTGTAGGTGGCTGAATGAAAAAGAGACAGAGAGTAGGGAAAAAAAGATGAGGGATAGGGAATGAAAAGAACAAAAATGTAAATAAAGAAACCTGGATAAACCTAAATGAGCCACCTTTCACGGTGTGTTAGTTTTGGCTGATGAGCAATACAGGTATGATTCCTCTTGCTCAGTGTGGTAAAACCAAAAAGTATGTGTCACATTATGTGAGGATGTTTTTTTCCAAATTTTTATCTGTGCCTTGGGAGCTCCTGGAGACATTAATTAGTTCATTCTGCCCTCCTGAAAGGGCTGCAGATCTGGCATTATGGCTGTATATTTACTTGGAATTTAAGTGAGGCTCCTACAGTGTATGACCCAAGTTTTAAAAATAATGAATCCTTTTTCTAAGCATTGTTTAGTATGATTTCAAGATAACAAAACTGCTTTATGAAAGCACATCCTCACTGCATAGGCTGAATTGTTAATTTTAATGATTCTGTTTTCTCACCACAGATAAGTTTACGTATTAAATACTGTCTACACTCAGATAAATTTTAAAAAACACATGCTTTAAGAAACAACCCTAAACCATCCACAACTGTGATTTTCACACAGTTGCAAGATACTGTAGGAAGCTAATTCATTCCATAGCCCAGCAGAGGAAAGACCCTGACCAAGGATTTGCTAGAGAAAAGTGAGGAAACACAAGGCTCTGAACCATTTGTTTGGATAATTCGTCCATCCCTCGGTTCATGCACTAACCACGACCCATGCTGCTATACACTTGAGAGCAGCACACTGAAGCAACCCAAAGGGATCCAGAGGGAGGGACGGAGTGTAGGGAATAACTAAGTGGGATGATATATGTAAGAGCATTTTTAACAGATGGTTGTACATTAGTCTCTTTATGTTGCGCACATTTCTGAACACGGCACACTCTCATAGGGCTGTGCAGTACCTCATGTGCTCTGGGCACTAGAGTGAAATAAATCAGCACAATAACTTAGGCAGACAAATAACTTGCAGAGAATTGACTGTCACTGGTGGATCAGAGAGCACCAAGACAGAGTTAGTTATGCTGTAAAGTTATTCACATGCTGCAACACTAAGCATGTCTGTAGTAGCATCTTGCACCCTAAAAAGGGAACTAAAGAAAGCCCCACAGTTTACCCATCTAATGTCTTTACTTCTCTTTGCATCTAGTAATAAGGAAACGGCATTCTGGCAGAAAAAATGTGCGCAGTAGGTCACCTTTTATAGTGGTGCAGGCTAGCAATGACCACAAGGATCTCAGGCACATCACAAGGAGAACACCAGTAGACACCAGACAGTGGGAGAAGCTTCTCCCACAGAGGACGGAAATTGCCTATTTGGTGCTGGGAGTTTTTGCAGCAAAAGCAAATTCAAAGCCAAATGGAGAGAAAACAGTACAAGCAAAGTATACTGAATTTCACATTTATCTTTGCAAATATCAACTTATTTTGTTAACTTTTTTTTTTAAGAGAACAAAACCTGCCCTTGGCTGATGATGAAGGTGAAGGATGTCTCAAATGTACTAAGTGGCCAGAGAATGATGCAAATACCTTACAATGTAATAAAGTTTTTGGCAGGTCTGATGATCCCATAGAATTTTAATGCTTATATTGTTTTATCATTTTGGAAATCTAATAAGCATTTCTTCACCAGACTCTGGTGGCTAAGGGTTCTCTGGCTTGCAGTTTGTGTTGTTATTGTAAAACGAGGCTCTGAGCTACTGCTCTCCAGGAGAGATACATCTTTACTGCCAACATTTCATACTATTTGGCCAGATAGTAATTCTTCACTTGTCTTCCTCAAATCCTGTCCCATTTTTTTTGGCAGAAACTAGTCAGTCATTTCTGGTTAGCTTAGGTCTTCTGTCCTTTCTGTCTCCCTAGTCTCACAAGTAAACAACACAAAAAGCTGATTACATGCTCTATTGCCGTAGCGTTCATTACTTTCTGTGCCAAAGCCCTTGCATTTTAAAATATTTGCTATATTGGAATACTGGATTAAGAGAGCTAGAGAATTAAAATCTGCCACCCTTGCCATGGAAAAAATAAAAGGCAGTGGAGTCCAGGTAATAGCTTCCACTTCAAAAATGCACCATGTTGAACTATTACTCATTATCTTTGTCCTCTTAATATTTTTCAAAGAATACTAACTGTAAACATTGTGCAAAAGTAGGTGCAAAAGTATTCAGGACAATATTACATTTCTGCACATCATGGGTTCCATTTTGAAATGGAAACAGAGAACACTTGTATTTTTAAGGAGAGAAGTATATTTTTGGTAAATTGCTACAATGACAGAGTATGCTTGCTCTTCACGGTTACTTTGTGTTTATGATAGAGAATCATCACAACTCAGGATCAGTTCTGAAACATAAACTTCAGTCTAACTATAGACGTTTGCTTAATGTAGACAAAAGTCTGATGACTCCGAACATTTCCACAATCACATTAATTAACCATCTTTTAATTAGCATAGAAGGTCAATTCAACTCATAGCAGTTAGTTAATATGGACTGTGGCAGGGACACAGTAAGCAAGTACACTACTGTAACAGAGAACAATAGTAACAGACTTCTGCTGTTCCCGTTACAGCTCAAGATTTTGCCATGCAATGATTTTCATTTAACAAGTAGTCAAAGAAAACTTGGTGTACATAGGTTGTTTCCAATAACTCAAAATGTTTCATCATTCCCTTGATACCAAGAGAGGTTTTATTAATCTCCTCTGGGCTGTTCAGCTTTTCAAACAGAACCGATTTTCCCACTTACATATTTCTTACTGACTTCATTCTTTAGCAAACTTAACCTCTATGAAAATTAAACCCACTACATGGAAAAAAGGGAATTGAGTTTGACATAGGACAGTTTGACATTGCTGCAGTTAGCTGTGCAAGAAACCCTTTTTAGATCAAGTGTTCTTGATTATTAGCACATAGTGACAAAGCAGTCTATAACTGCCATGAAGTACCATCTATCCAAGGTGTATAAAACCCTTTCATTTGCTTCCAAAGCGCTCTCACTCCTTCTCTTTCCCTCCTTCCTTCCTTCTTTCCTTCCTTCCCTCTTTCTCTCCATCCCTCTTTCTGTCCTTCCCTCCTTCGTTTCTTTTAATAATTTTCCTGGTAGTCTTCTATGTGCATGCCAAAACCTTCCAACATTTGTCTCACCTGGCAACTTAAAGGATATTTCTATCTTGGAAATTCTACTAGCTACTCAGATTTCTTGTTTTCCCTCCTCTGCCAGCACAGTTTTATGATTACGTATCAGACCCACAATCCTGTCATGGTGGTAGAGGGACCAAGATGAAGGAATGGTGACTCTTTCCTTATGTGATTTGCAACAAATAAATAAATATCTCTATGCAAACACAAGTATTTTAACACAGTCAAAGTAACTGAACCAAGCATGAACGGTGACAATGTGAGAGATTAATCCAAACTTCTCATTGTGTATTTCAACACACATTACAACAATAAAGCACTCACACACAATCTTACCAGGAGCAATGTTGTAACTGGATATTTTGAGGACAGCTTTGCAAGGCTAGATGAAGGATTCTTCACATGCTTAACAGTGTGGTTTTACAAGCTAATTTTCCATGTTATCTTTACAGCACTGACTTTTCAGGCTGTTTGACCTCTGCAACACTATACAGCAGCACTGCTGAAATAGGGAGAATGTAGACATATTACAGATGGAGAAACCAGTGCAACAGGAGAATACCTGAGAATGCTTGGAGACCCAGTGGCGCAAAACATTTAGGACACGATTTGTGGCCGCTCTGCGTATTATGAACTCTTTGTCGCACATGCGTTCAGAATTGGTAAATCCTGTGTGGAAAAAATACATGTTAAAGTTAATGGAGGTAGCAAAAATTCAAATAGGGTATGAATAACTTTGGTAAACCGAAAGCTTATGGAACAGTTATGTGTAATAAAAGGAAAGATGCCTATATAGCCTTTCAAATACCACTATTTAGACTGGTGAAATTCTTCAAGATCACTAGTACACAGCCTTGCCCATCATAACTAATACAGATACCTCCTTGGGTCAGCACTCAGTTTTAGAAAGATAAAGAATATTTGCCTGCATCATTAACATCAAGGTCTCCCTTCAGTATGGAAGAAAATAACATTAAAAAACAGGACCAGACCAAAAATGTACAGGGCCTGTAATCAAGCAGATTACGGAAGGGATGTGAGTATCATTTAGAAAGGGGAAAGAGGTAAATTTCAGAAGTGGTAAAGAAATAGTGAAGGATAATAGTTTAAACACAGAGAAGAAGAAGGTCAACACAAGAAATGTTCCTTTGTAAGAGCAGTATTGCACAGGCTCTACTAGTCAACAGAGACTATTCAAATAAGCTATTTGTTTTTTTACCACTGGGGTGACAAGAAAGTGGGAAAGTATACAGAAAACACATGATTACATTATTTTAATAATAATAATAATACAATTATATTAAAACTCCAATTTTTTAAAAACAATTGATAACTCTGAAGATACACTTGACAAGTTTACATTTTTCTAGTTTGTTAGATTTGATCTTGCACTCTGCTGCTTTCCATTTCACTTGGTGCAGAGTCCAGGGAAATCTGGAAACACCCTTCCATGTGACCAGTACTTCAATATTTTTTTGCATAAGAGCTGTTCTAAAGCCCATGTATTATTATAAATAGCAAAGGCAGATTAAATGTCTGTTTATTCTGTGAGAAACCTGTTGGAGGTATTCTGAGAGTTTGTATTAATTTTGCTCTATTTTTATTAAAGACAATCCAAAACCTCCAAATTGCAGCTCTATATACCCCAAATATATTTTCTGTGGTTATGTTTCATGGAATTTTTTTTTAATTGTGTCATATTACACTGTAGTCGACATCTAAGATTCACTATCAAAGAAATTTTCATATTAAAACATCTTCAGGAGCTTCATTGCCCGTAAACATCAAAGCAAAGAAAATCTCTGAGGCTTTACTCAGTAAAAGGTAACACAGGCAACATTTTGTGTGTTAATTTTCTATGCCTTTCACAGTTAACCTCTTGCAGAAGCAATTAGGCATACACATTATAAACTGTTCAATTAGCCACTTAATTGCAGCAATGAAAGTCACAATGAAAATTATATATTAAAGCAGTGGAGTCTTTATCAAAGTAACTTTAAGGAAAAGAAGTTTCAGTAAGCTGGAAGGAAAACAGAAAGACGCCTACAGAGACAGTTCTCAGCTGCAAAAAGAATTAAAAAAGCAAGAAAGGAAAAAGGAAAACCTCTAGAGATCACTTCAGCAAACTTCTATGATCCTCATATTTTCACCAATTTTTAAGCAGTAATTAGCTTGTTGCAGAGATTAAGCAGCATGTTCACTCAGATCCACACTGTCAGTATTTAACGTTGATCTCTTGAAGCTATAAATGGAGATCTCCACTTTTGTAAGAAAAGAACTTAGCTGAGCATAGATGCACATGTGAATTTAACTCCAAGTGGCTGATTCATTGTACATCTTCAGGTACAAGACTTCGAAGAAGTAACTAAATCAAAGAAATTCTTTTTTCTTTTCAAAATGTAACTAGAAATCTATTAACTCCATTCTGACCTTGTTTTTAAATACCAAACAACTCAGAAAGCCAGGATGTGTTTCCTTCTTTCTTCACAAAACATCTATAATTTATTGTTCTTTATAGAAACAAAAAAGAATCCGAAAGTCCTCAAGCAACTCTCACTGTCCAAGACTTAAATCTGCAGACTGATTTTGAAGAAAATCATGTTTACGACATTTTCTTGTGGAAATCGAATGGAGTGGAATACCCACTATTCTCTGTACACTGGCTTAGCGTCCTTCCATTTGGATGTCTGGCTTTACCTCAAGGTTTTCCCTCAGGACTTAGTTTTGAGTGACAGTAGACCCCAGGTAGGCTCCAGATTCAGCAGCTGTCAGAACAGCTCAGCAGATTTAGGCCCTAAACCAGAGCCAGTTATGCTGGAGAGTAATACATGGAGTCCTTGGACCTTCCTGAGGCAATTGAGCTGGATCAGGTCAAAGCTACTGGGACTTGCAGTGTTCAGAAAAAAAAGCCTCTGACTCTGTTCCTCTTCTACAATCTACCATGCTATTTCCAAGCAAATACTTCTGCATAGACATGGAAGGAACACAGAGCAGTTTTAAGGACAAAGGGATTGATTATACTCCTGCTTCAAAAACTGGTGGCAATGTTCTGAGCAATGCTGGAGACTTGCACTACAACAGAGCTGAAGATGAAGAACTGCCCCTCATGAAGACGGAGATGTGCAAGTCATCATTGACCCATGCGGAGAGATCTGCAGAAACAAAGCATATGATCTTCTCGAGGTCTAGCACCAGAAGAAGTTGCAAAGTGTAAACCTGTTGAATGGTGGTGTTTAGCATACTGGTGGCTCCTAGTGTTTCAATCCTGAACTGACTTGTAATTGAAGTGGGAGCCAGGACTGTCAGCATGGGGTAGAGATGGTTACCATCCACATCATTAAAATGCCCATTGGGCACAGATCAATTAGCTTAGTCTCAAATCAGAAGTTATTTAATAACTGCTACTATTCACTAGGTAAGCTTAAGTGGATTTATATACCTGATCAGACTTGTGCTCCAGGCCCCTCACCAACTTGGTTGCCCTTCTCTGGACACGCTCCAGCACCTCAATGTCTTTCCTGCAGTGAGGGGCCCAAAACTGAACACAGTACTCGAGGTGCGGCCTCACCAGTGCCGAATACAGGAGAACAACCACCTCCCTGCTCCTGCTGGCCACACTATTTCTGATACAGGCCAGGATGCCATTGGCCTTCTTGGCCACCTGGGCACACTGCTGGCTCATATTCAGCCGGCTGTCAACCAGCACCCCCAGGTCTTTTTCTGCCAGGCAGCTTTCCAGCCACTCTTCCCCAGGCTCAGATGAAATTTCATCTAGTCTGGTATCCAGAAACAAATGCTTGCAGAAAGAATCTTTAAAAAAAGGCAATTCTAAAGCCATCCTTCCCATAGTGTGTTACCCTTGGCGTTGAGCAGTTTGGGGGCTAACTACACACATTACACATAAATCAGTGGGAAAGTAGGCATGATTTCTTCCAAGTTCACCTTCACTGTGGTTCCAGGGGAGGAGGGAGGTGAAGGGTCCAATGTAGCAGGATGCCAAACTTTGCAACACTTTAAACAGAGTTCTGGATGCAACTGCCCACATCCAGACCCCATGGTGAAATAACCAGGAACACTCCATGGTGAATATCTGTGTCTCTCCTGAAGGAAGCAGTCTTTCCACATTAGAAATATACAGCACTATTTCTAATCATTAATCATCTTAGTGGGCAGCTGTTTCAGTGAGTGCTATTTTCAAGGAATGTTTTTCCCCAGTATCTGTTGAGATTAATATATACTGCTTCCACAAATAGTTTCTTCAAATAATGGTGATGCAGAACTTTTACCACAGGCTGTCAAACACAATGTTAACCTGCCAGCATTGCTAGTTTCAGTGAATTACTTCTTTCAATATAATTTAATCACTGTGTTCATGTACTCATCTTCAGATTATGTTATGCAAAATCCAGTTTCACCTTCAGATGTTTTTCTTGTGTGCACTATAATCAAAACTAGCTTCCACTATCACCAAAGATTAAAAAAAAAAGTGCTGAATAGACATAAATCTCAACACCTGCAGACAAAAATATATTACATTATGACAACACCTTGTACATAGATAGCTCTCCTTATGTGAAAGTCTAAAGCACTTTTCAGTGGTAGATGTCATTATCTCTCCCATTCAAAAAGCAAAAAACCCACAGCCAATCAATGCCTGCAAGTAGCATGTGTCAGTGTCTCCACCTTTGGAATTACTGCACTCAGGACCAGATCCAAAGATCTCATCACATGTCAGTGTGAGACAGAGAACAGATCCCCTCCTCAAAAGCTACTAAGAAGTCCCTATAGCAAAATCCTGTCCCACTTTTTCCTGTTCTACTGAACAAACCTGACTCTATCAGCAATTTACATTATTTCCTCTTTAAAATCCACCTCAACCAAAAGGAACATTTGTATTATGTTAAATTCTGCAATATATATGTTAAATAAATTAAATTATACACATTTGCTTTTCTATTTCACTTAAGCTGTCAAAAACTCTCAGTCTAGTTACAGTAACTGTATTCTCTGCGTTTTGTTTTTCTGCATTAATACAGCAGCACATGATTCCTGACCACAGTAATTAATTTGTCAAAAGTTTTGATGATATATCTATTTTTAAGGGTTTATGTATACAAAAAATCATTTCTGTTCACAAGATTTAGGGGTAAGTTGTTTGAAGTTATGAAGAGTGACTTCAACAAGTTTCTGTCTTTCTTAGCAAAAAACTTCATTTCAGACAAAGACTTTATGTGTCAGTTTCACTGAAATACTCTGGAATCATGCACTGAAGCTGCATCAGCACCTAACACAGAAGTTTGCACTCCAGCCTTTAACAAGGTCATGGCAAACCCCACAGAGTCTCAGGAAGGTGGAAGGGGAACATTCATGGCTCACGAGACAGATGACAAATAATCAAAAAAAGTGTTACATGTAGTCCTCTGTCTTGTGGGTTTTTTTTCTTTCTTCTGATAAATACGCTCATAAATTGTAGGCCAGTTTCATGGTTCAGCCTGGCTGAAATCCTGAAAGCTTAGGCTTGGCAAACATCAGAGTTACTTTCTGACCTGGATAAAGAATAAATACAAACCCCAGGCTTGGAGCAGAGCAGTTTTCATCCACAGATTAAAACTGAAAAAGCCTCTCCAATACATGCAGCACAGAAGAAGAGCCTTCCCAATATATATGCA